TTAATATAGAACTTTTGAAATCACAAGATGCTACTCATGTTTTCTATTAGCTGCTCTGTATTCTTTTATATGTTGGGATTACAGAGGGATGCTAACAGTTGCCCACTAAAAAAAAGTTTACTTTCTTTCCTCTTTTATTTCTTCACAGAAGGATTTAACAAATTACATTTCTCATTACCTCTTTGTACATTTATAATATATAACTGAAAGACTTGTCCTCATATTTGTTTCCTGGTTTTCAACTTTTCTCTTTGATGATGCAGTTCCTCAGAGAAAGATATGTCCTTGGTTAGTATTCCCTTTGATACAAGGAACTGTTGGGAGATTTAATGCTACATTAATTTTAGTATGTATTTCTACAAGGGCTGGATATTACCATTAAGAAATCAGCAATCTTTGTTAGGGGCAAGTCTACAAACTCAAGAAAAACTATCAACAGTGGAATTTCCTCCAAATACATTTCTCAGCATGCATTTGGTGTTTGATTTTTTGAATTAAAAGAAATAAGATTTTATTATACGTCATCCTAGAACCAAAAAGAAAAAAAAGAAAAAAGTAAAAAAAAGAAAGAAAGCTGATGATTCTTACAGAAAATAATGATTTTTTAAAATGCAAGCACTGTGATAATAAATTCCATGTGTTGGTTTTTTTTTATATCATAATTTCCAGATAAAAGTATAGCAGACCAGATCCAGGCTTAAGTGTTGCTTCATTTAAGTGAGTATTCATAGAGGGCTGAGTCAAGGAGAAGGGATAATGTTATATAGTATGGTCCAGCTAGGTTATTACTTTTCACCGTGATTGCAATGAGTGAATGAGGTAGATTTATATCCAAAAAGCTGTTGGCATTGCCAACACTTTTTTTCAGTTGATGAGTAGACAGCTCATCTGGAAAGCAGGATGCATGGGCTGTATTTTCTTCTCCGCCTGGGAAGTCAAATTCTTTGTTTTCCATAGACTACAAGGTGTTTTAACCAGAAACCCACAAAGTAGTTTGTGTGAACTTTACTACAGTTCATAATCCTGATTTTGGCTTTTTTTCCAATGAAAATCTGATGTAAAACAACCATGTGCCACCAGTTTGGAAAAGTTGTGCACCACTACTCATCTTGATAGGAATCTGCCAACTGAATTTCTGATTTACTATAGGAGTGTTAGTCATTTATTAATTAGATGAACAGTCTAGTTGTCAATTTAAATAGAGCTTACAATGGGGCTTTAGGTGGCAGAATTGCTGCTTCTCAGAATAGCTACTTCTGAATATGTTAGAAATCAAAGCTAGATACCCTATGAAAGTAGGGAGATGCCTCTTAAGTTTGGTAGGCTGATGGATTTCTCTGTTTTATTCACCAAAATTGCATCTTATGTGGGATTCCTGAAAAATGATATGAAAACACTGACTCTTAGTGAGTGTGATAGAATCTTGAAAGACAAATTAGTCAAAAACGGTACGGCCAAAGGGAACCCAACATTTATGCAAGATGTAGGTCTGTTCATGCCCATAGCATGAAATAACTGTCTCTTTTTATATTCGGTTTACGGTTTATTAGACATGAGTTAGTAGCTCTTGTTACAGTTCCATTTGTACATTAACAATGCAACCAATAAAATGATCAGGGGAAAAAAGCTGACTTAGAAAAAAAAAAAAACCACAAATGTAATTGCAGTTATTATAGAAGAAATGAAGCTTCAACTGTCTTCTTCCATTAGTATGCCAGGAATTGTCTCCTAAGAGGAAATCTTATAGATTCCTGATAATAATCTAATATATGTTGTAACTACAACATAGCCATACTTGATGCAAATTATTATTGTATCTAGACTGCAAGTGAAAAGACATTAAACAAGCTGCTAATTCACAAACAATCAATGAAAATGCTGCTATTCTAAGAGATGTTGCTGAGAACGCAAAACCTATTTAAGGAATATCCCATTTGTACATACAGTGTTTCACTTTTCATTCTAATATATTTTAAAAAATGTAGTTTCAATAACTAAAGGCAATATTTTTAATACATTTAGTAGCTTCATGTGGCTCAGTGTTGATAAAATACATGAGATCAATATTCATAACTCCCTTGTGATTTTTGTGTTTTGCCTCAGTTGTAGTTCAACAACAGAAGTCATAATTTGAAGACAAGATGCTGAATATCTTGAAATTTGGGCAAATATTAAACATTTGAAGATTGGGAATTTGCAACTGCATCTACAAGCTTAGATGTTCCAGAAATATGTAAGAAGATATTTTAAACACACTCACGATTGTGCAAGGCTAATTATAGATACATCTTATGGAACAAGTTATTTGGGGAAGGCCTGGATTCAAAACATCTCTTTGGCATGATATCCCAAGGTGAAATATAGTTTGACACCTTTCTTTGGAGTCAGGAGTTGGAATTACTGGAGATTTGAATATTCAATACTTGATTTAAACACTCTAGGCTGAAAATGCTAAGTATTGTTAATGAAATTGGTTTTGGTTAATTTTCTCCAGCTCTAATTTTGCATGTCTTAGCCCCTTAGTCTCAGTAATATTGCATATATCCAGCATTTGATCATGTACTTGCCCTTTTTTTAGGAAGAATGTAGAGAAGTCACTAGGATGGGATGCCGTGCAGCTTAGCTATTCTCTGATTATACCAGCAGACTAAACATGCTGAAGTGTATTTCTGAGCACCAAGACTAGCTGGCAGGGAACTCTTTGTACCTCTGCTAGCCACACCAGGGTGATCTCGGGGATGTTATGATTCTGGAGCAATCCTGGGAGCCATTTGGGTGCACCCAAATGTTCCAGCTGCACCAGGCCATGCCAGGGAGTGTTCCCAGATGCTCTTCCCCCTTCTTGCTTAGATGTACCTTTGTGAAACCACATTTTAGCTGTAAGAAAAATCAAAGAATACCTACATAGACATTTCTGGCTATTCAGAGCTGTGTATGCTACAGAAATATATGCATATGTAACCTGTATGATTGTACAGGTGAATTGCATGGTTTGACAAGAATCCTTGAATGCAGTCACTGCTTTTAAATCTTGATATGAGCCTTCAAGTTATTGCATATTATCTTCTCTCATATTGTGATCAAGTTTGACAAAGAACATTGGAAGCACATCCTGGGAGACAGGAACTTTGGTTGCTGAGCTGGGCCACAGGCTGTCATGCAGGTGATAAATTTTAGGCCCCATCTCTGACAGATGTTCTGTCAGTGATTACATGATCTGATAGTCTGGCCTGATACCTTCAAAGAAAACTCATGTCTTCCTCCCAGAATAGCATCCTAGGTAGACCGGTCAGCTTTAAGCATTACTGGAGGCATTAAATGTGGAATATTGTTCCACATGCACTGGTGAATCCTGAATAGTGCTCTTCTCGCCTGAAACATTTTTCTAATTCTAGTGTATTACAGTTGTTTTTCATTTTCTATTTTTCTCATGCATAGATGTAGTATAACATTTGAGTCTCGAGATCTTCTGATAGTGTTTTAGAAATACAAGAAGAAATTAATTATTTGCAAAAAAATCATCATCACACCCAGGTATTATCTATTCCAAGGTTAATATTTGGCTTAAAAGAGGAAGACAAGAATGAATATTCCTTAGCTGATTATAACTGGGTAATTGGAATCTAAACTACTTTTTGTTTCACAATACGTTTGATATTTATTTATAACATTGTTATATTTACTGAAGTATCTTGTCAGTCACATTAGCCTATGATTGTTTCTGCACAATGTCTAGTTACACAGTGGAAATATTTGTCTTTTCTTGTTAAAGAAAAAAAGTTTGCATGGGTTCAAAAGAGGCTACACAAATGCATGACTGAAATTTCCACATGTTCCTAAGATCAGAGATATCATGTTTTTGGTGATGAAATCCATGGAGGAAACGTTGCTGGAACCTTGGAGAATACACAACAAAAGATCTGTATTACTGTTGTAATGTGTGCAATTTTCCTTTAAGCTTCTAACGGGTCATTAGGTTAGCTCAAGTATTATCATCCATGTCAAGAGAGGAGCACTTGAGGCATATGTATATGATTAGACCCTTTCTAAATGAATTTTGGGAACAAATACTCTGCTGCTTTAAGTGGGTGCAATTACACCAAAGCTGTGCTCACTCAAGCCAGAAAATAATTTAGCTTTCAGATCATGAAAGGTGTTAGGATGACAACATGAAATTTCCCACATATGCAGGAGAAAACTGCAGTAAAAGAGAAGAAAAATATTGTAGGGTAGACACTGACCTCCAGTAAGATAGAAAAAAAAACACTCAAAATAGAATGCTGTTTGTGCTGTGACCATTTCTGGACAATCAAGCTGTTCACTAACTGAAGAAAAAAAAAATCACATAATGATTTATGTATCCTTTTTATTATTACATAGGTCATTTTTAGATAAGGGAGGAAAAATCTGTATCTCATTATGAATATCACTACATAAAAGCCATCAAATATTTTAATTTATTGGTGTAGCTAAAGCTAGTCATTACTTGACCAACATTTTCTCACAACACTTTCTTGTCTCTGAATGAGACATTCATTGGCTATCACAGAGAAGATATTAGAAATTCCAGATGACAAAAAGGTTCATTCCCATTGGTCTGTGTCAGTGTTCACCATTTTTTTAAGAGTGGTTGAATCTTGAATTTGTTTTTGAATTGACTCAAAAAGTTTTTTATTGAATGCTTAGTTTTGATATTTTGCAACCTTACAACAGTTGTCTAATCCAAGTACTGTCAGAAAGAAACAATGAAGATGGGCGGAACAGTGCACATCCACTGCTGTAACAATCTGGAGAGAAGCTACACCAGAAAGGAAAATGAGAATGCATTTAAGTATTAAAGAGCATTTTTAAAACATTAATGAAAAATAAAAATCTCAGAACAAAAATACATTAAAAAAAAGTCACCATTTAAAAAAATATTTTCAGTTTTCCATCCTGAACCAATTCAGCAGTAAGGAGAAAGGAAGAAATCCTTGACAGAATTTTAAAGGGTTTCTTACCACAGGTTGACTAGGAAGGGATGCTCTAGGCCTTGCATGATCTGTAGCTCCCGAAAAACATTCCGAACTTCATCTCTCTCAATGCACTTCTGTTTATTCATGTATTTCATGGCATACATTTTCTTGGTGTCTCTCTTCTGTACAATGCACACCTAATTAACAGCAAAGTAAACGATGAAGTTTAACACAAAATGAAATTCAACCAAACACTTTCATAAAGTCCATGTCGCAGCTAAGCAGAATTCTTTGTAATCACTTCGTAAGCCAACATGCTGGGAAACTCAGAAAAGTTATAAAACTTCCAGTTGCAGTGTATCTAAGAGAAATACACTCAATTATATTGAATCATAGGCTATTTTGTGAGTCACAGAAATTACTGCCTCCTGTCTAGGAAAATGCACAGTCAGTGTCCTCATTCACATAAGTCAATACACACTTCATGATTACTGCGTCATAAACATTGCCTGTGTTCAGAAGGCCAATATTTCATCTTGATATCAGAATTATTCTCTTTTAATTATTATTGAAGATAAAAATATATCTTTGTACAGAGCTACATCATGCTGTTTTTGAAGTCACAGTTACACTGATTTAATCTCTGGAAGTAAATTTCTTCTCTTTATTTTTCTTCTTATTATTTATTTATTTATTTATTTATTTTTACTAAAGTCAAATAATTTTGTAAATGCAACATGAAAATCTCATTCTAATGAGCTCCTATCTAAAACTCAGATTTTTTAAATTCTATTTGTCATCATAGTATTTCCCTTGAGAATGAAGCTAGTGTGTCACTAGCACCACATCTATCATCATTTTACATACAATTTTCAATAACACCGAAATAATAGCTTCATCTGTATCTCATACCCCAAAGGTGGTATGAATCTCATCTTTATAACTTCCCTACACTCACCCATGGGGCAAAACTCTATCATAAGTAGACTTTTACTCTGAAGTTTTTTTTCCATTAATCAAGACTTTTTAAAAATGACACTCCTAGTGCATCTTGACAGCCAAGAGAATACCAGCTGAAGATTTTATTTTGATGCAACATTCATATCACTGACACAGCCATCAGCTCCAATCAGAATTTTTCACCATCAAGAGTATGAAGAACATGCGTTGGAAGCATCTTGTTTAGATCTCACCGCTTTGGTGGAATCAAGTACAAGGGAGTTATGAAGGATTTATTTGGTGTGGGCAGAATTAGTTTATTTGCGTATTTATGTACATGGGCAGTATTATTTTATTTGCATATTTATGTACATACAAATACACACATATTCCCATATTATAATATATGCATATATACATGCATCTAATATCAGTGCTCAAAGATCAAATTGCAGTACACTATAAAAAAGAAAAGGAATTTTGTGCTGTATTTTAATGAACTTGCATACGCAAAATGCATAAGTGATCTGGAAGGACTGAGAGATGCCTTCTGGATACACAGCCTGCTAATAAACCACTAGAACTAGGATGAGGGCTGTAGAGAGTCGTACCACATATTCACTTCTATTTTAGTCTCAGAGGAAAGGCATCAGGAGCCTAAAATCAGTATATTTTATTTCCCCTGCCTTTTTCCATTGTCTCAAGAGGAACTGTCCCAGTGAAAACCATATTTGTTTCTCTACAACTCCTTTTCCATGAAGAATATCCTTGAGCTCAAATCTACTCTAAATATAGGAGTTAACAGAAAATTTTTAACTTATAATGACAAGGTGGATTAAGTAGTTTCTGATTACCTTTCCTAATATCAGATGTTCTGCTAATTAAACAAAACATGGATGAGAGTGTTTCATCTTGAGCCCATTGGTGTTGTACAGTGGTAAGTAGTAAAGTTTTGTTTCTTTTTCTTCCTTGTGACGTTATGCAAGGACAGAATACTTGTGATGTCCTGAAGATAATTAAAGGATTAAACTGATACAGAAAAAACCCAAGCTATGGAACAGTGAGGAAATGGCCTTTTTAGAGAAGAGACAGCAGGTGGAGCTGAACTGAAATGGAGAAACCAGCTGAGGCTTCCACAGCTTCTTCATAAGTATAAGCAGATTTTGCAATGGCAATTCCTGAAACTTAGTCTACGATTACCTGAACCCTCCAATTTGGTGAATCAATTATGAAATATAATATTTTATAGATTTGGGTTTGGAATCTAACTAAGTTCAGAAGTTCATTCGCTTACCTGAATTTGGAGCATGATTTTCATATGAAATTTGGCTGAGACCATGATGTTTGTACGTTTCCTGTTCCATTATTTGAAAAACATCTGTATTAAATAGTTCATCAGTAAGACTGCTGGGAAAATGGGCCTTTACTCAGCTGAGAATTGACAGGTTTGACAAATGAGCCAAACAAAGTTCACATACAACACCTGAATAGAGAACGTAAATGGAATCAGTTTTAAAACACTGATGTGACTCCAGAAGGATTTTGGTTCTCTCACCTTGAGACAGGGGCATTAAGCACAGCTAAAATTTTCTAGTCAAGAGCACGCATGTTGCTAGTAGAAGGTTGCTTAACAGTTAGCTAACGCAACCAAAGGAAGCATTTGTTAGCAGCACAGTATCTATTCACATCTTCTAACGTGGTTTCAAAATCAATGGTACTTCTATTAATACACAAAAGTTATTTTTGCTAAATATCAAGAATTCCAAGCTGCAAATATATCGATGTTACTTTGAAAAATGCCTGACATTTCTGTGACAGTGCTGAATAGTAGAGGAGATCCTTCCTGGCATTTTTACATGATGGTTGTCAGCAGTTCTTCTGAGCGCTGCTAATGTGCTGTTCTGAGCTCACTGTTAATGGGCAAAAAATGCTCCTCTGCTGCAAGAAAGAAAGCAAAACCCTCCAGCTCTCCTGGGCCATTAGCAATCCTAATGGGAAATGTTTCTTTTTTTTTTTTTTGTTAGTTTATGGTTGACTTTTTTTCCAATTGAGAAGTTTTAAAGAGGGGACACACAGGTGGTCTGCCACCTCAACAAAGTTCTGTGATTCATTATTGTGGAAGTCTGAGCAGAATTGCCTTATTTACATATATCAGCATGGAAGCCTGTCATGCACACATTAATAAAGCATCATCTTTCTATTTTCCTATGAATATCATTTGCTGTGCCCTGATCAAATTGATATCACTGCTTCAGCAGTCCCTGTGGAGATACTTCAAACCCCATATAGCTTCAGAGTCAAGAGGGGGGAACAGGAATATCCATTTCTCACTAAGTTATGGGTCTAAATGCTCTAATATGTCTTCTCTTCTGAAGTCTCTCTAAAGTGACTCTACATGATTAGCTTGGATGTAAGGAAGTTGAAAGCTAGGCAGTACAAATCCTCAGTAATTTTGTCTGGATTTAAATTGTGCTTATCTTTAGAAGTCTTGTGTGCAAATACCCTTTCCCTAAAAGGGCTATGTGTTTTAGTTGTTACCACAGGGTTGTGTCTTTTTTATATCTAGGAGAGGGAAACTCTGAATTACTTTCAAATCTACAAAGTTAAAAGCAATTAGCCAAAACTTGGAGACATTTACTCTTAGAACCAAAAGAACAAAACCCATAGATTATCATTGCAGGGCTAAACTACACTTCAGAGAGTCCACTTCTAAACTACCATCACTAACTTCATCCAAATGAAAAAACAGATTACCTGCAGGTTAATAGGTTACCTTGCATTAAGACTATTATGGATGACTGAGCTCCCCATGGGCAGATCTGGGGAAAGGATATCAGAGTTATATGGAATGAAACTTGCACGGAATTTCCTACTGGTTTGCTGCCAAAGGTGTATACTGCTATGAAGGAACAGTTATAGGTAGATTCAGAGAAGCTTTTCCCAAAAGGTGGGGATGCATAAAAAAGCTTTTTAGCTAGACTTTCCCACTAACATGAAGTCAGTGAAGCAACAAATCTGCTATGAAGCAGAAAAATCTCATGTATGTTTTTACATACACACTCTAAAAAATGAATGATCATTTTTTCAGCCTACAAGTGGAAAGATTTACACAAAGAGGCTGGAGACTTGATGTCATAAGTTTGAATTTACACTGTTAGGGAATTCCCATGAAATAGAAGGATTCATTCCTAGATTCCCCTGAGCAAAGTATGACAGCTGGAGAAGAAGCTGAGCATCTGCTTGGTATCCTTTCATATTAACTCAATCTGAATAAGTTGGTGGTTATACTGTCAAACAATACTAATATTCTGAGGCTGTGTGTTATGTTACTTTAAAGATAACAGGAGATTTATTCTGAAATTCTTTGCATATTATTTAGTGAAGTATCCTTGATCAGTACAGATGTGATTATGGGCTCCCATCTGTTTTACACCATGGCAATTTCAATTCACGAAGTCACTCTTTTATACAACCAAATTAATAAGAACTAAGTCCTATGTCTCAGCATCTTAGAGAAATAGGAAAAAGAATCAGTATATTCTTATCATAATTTGAATTTAATTTAAGTAGGTCAGATTGTTCAATATACCTGCTCACAAAGACCTTGAAGAAAAATGGTATTGTAATTTTCCTAGAAACCACCCGCACCTGAATACAAACTATTTTCGTGGCAGTAAGCCTGCAATTATATGGTTACTGTTGCAGTAAAGAAAAATGGTAATTCTTGTATTTCAATCTAAGTCAATTTTGTAGTTGTTGGACAGTCTTCAAGTATATATTTTTTGTGATATTTTGGTTGATAATGATGGCTCTACATAGAACAAAACATTAAATTTAGCCAGATTAAATATGAGAGAATACTTCTAAGGTATGACGGCATAAAGAAATGACTATTTAGACCGGTGTTCAGAAGTTTTATTTTGTGGATTTTATATCATCCACTTCTGAGTTTACTTAGAACAATATTTAATATACAAATAAAAGCTCCGTGGAGTTTTTTTTTTTCCTTTTATCCTAAACTCCTCACAACTGATGTGATGCATCTTTACCTTCCCCACAGAATGTGCTACAGGGGGTGGAAGACTCCACTGCCTTAAATGTCCTTAGGAGAAGAATATGTCTTAGTGCAGTTGTTTAAAATGGGAGGCCACTTCTCAGAAAAGACAGGCTTTTGAGATACAGAGCCTTTAATACCAAATGAACCAGGAAAATTCCTATAACAGCAGATGTTACTACTCTG